CCATGTCGAATGTACTCGGTCGTGCCGGCGACGCCAAAACAGACAAGCGGAAGGCCAACCGCCATGACCTCAATGTTGGCGATGCCAAACGTCTCGCGGAGGCCTGGGTGGACAGCCAAGTCCCAGGACTGGAGTTCGTGGACGAGCGCGGTTTCGTTGTAGATGCCACCGAGCAGCTCCACGGGGTAGTGCTGATAGAACACAGCATCTGGGCCTTCGCCGACCCAGCGAAAGACGAGGCAGAGATCGTGCTTGGCTGTGAGAAGCTCGGTGGCGCGTGCTAGGAGTCCGAGGGACTTTTCCGGTGCAATGCGACCGAGGTAGCCCACGACAAGGCAGTCGTTGGGCTTGGGCTTGGCGGCGGGAACGAAGAGCGTCGTGTTGACGCCTGGTACGATCACGTGCCGATGCGTCGCTGCAACTGCCTGCGCGACACTCTCGTGGTAGACGGCGAACTGCGATGGGCCAATGACCGCGTCCACGGCATGGGGCATCGGACGTAGACCCGAGAGCTCCAGCACGACAGCCTGCACTTGGACATGGCGCGCGACAAGTGAAAGCGCCGAGTCGCCGTGGTCTTGCGAGTTGGCATACACAAGAATCGCGCCACGGCACGGCGATAGCGCAGCGGTATACTGGCCAAAGAGCCGAGCGACGTACGCAGGATGGCGTCCGAGCCCCTTGGCGTACGCCGCAAGCTGCGCCATTGTCTTGTTGTTGGTCAAATTGTACTTGGCAACGTTGTTGGAGTCGACCTATATCGGCGTTGCGTCAGCGTGTAGTCGGTCCGAGCGTAAACTACCGTAAGATGAACGTATGTGATGGGAATGCCAAGCGCGAGATACGGGTCGAGACGCACGGCCGTCGGAGCTTGCACGCGAAACATCTATGGTTTCCGCTCATTTTCGACCATTTTCAGAACGAAATACCGCACGTGAAAGCTATACTTTGTCGTCGGATGCTGCTGGAGCGCAGCAATGAGGTCGAGCCAGAGTCGCATTTGGCCATCCATGCTGGTGCCTCCTGTCACAAAGCACAGCTTGCGCTCGCGCGGTCGCACGACAGACGGCAGTGCCAAGAGCACACGCCGCGGTCTCGGCAGCGTTCGCTGAGCGGTAGCCTGCTCGTGGGAAAGGACGCGCTCATAGTGCAAAGTCGACACGTCGCCGATCGGCTGCCCCGATGGATCGAGCAGCTGTGCGGAGGCCCAGTACGAGCCGAGGTCGGCGCCAACAAAGCGCATGGTGTCGGAGACAGCAGGTAGAATACCGTTGATCTTATCGCCCGAGAACTGAAGCGACCCATTGACCACGGAGCCATCGACAGTGTACTGGACGATGACATCGGTGGAGGAGCGTAGGAGGAGGCCGGGTGGGGGCCAGACAAATTGGATCTTAGCGTCGCCAAGCGCACGCCCTATTTGAGCCAAGACCAAACACAGTACCACCTAGTAGATGTAGCAGATCTCACCTAGAGAAATGATGTTGAGGCAAGAACTCACCGGTCGGGTCCATGGCGCCCTGCCCATTCTTGGACTTGGTATCTTTTGGTGTTCGAATAGTGTCATATTTTAATAGTGTAATATTGCTTAATAGTATTCTGTTTTTGAATAGTATGAATGTCTGAAGCGTCCAACAGCAGCAGCAAGGCGTGGACAGGGTCTTCGCGCCCGCGTCTTCAAGGATCGCCATGGACGATCCCTCTTCTTGACTTGACAGTATATGTACTTGCGTCCATCGACTCAATCGTGGTAGTGTAATGTTGCTATCCCCGAATTCGCATCAAATCGCGTTGCGTGCTTCTGGAATTTCTCGAAGTATGCGTCTCGCTCCAAATGACGTGAAATAGTGTATGTTATCTCGGGGAAATCCCTCCTATCGACGCTAGCATTCCGAAATAGCGTGCAATCAAGTCTTCGAGGTATACTGCCTGAAGCGCACCATGACATGTCTTCAGCAGCTTCTACGTGCCTACCAATGTTAACAGTGATGGCATCGATCGCTTCCTAGAAGAGAACATGGCCAGGCCTTCGACAAACGGCGCTGTCGGCGCCAGCGTTTAACATACACTAATTCGGGTCCATTATCCCACCTGTGAAACATAATATGTCAAATGGCCAATCGCTCGACAAAAAATGGCTGGGCGCAGTTCCTATTTCCCGCAGCAAGAAGCAGCATGGCCGACCCGAACAAGTGGATGGGCCTCCTGCGCTGGTCCATGCAGCAGCAAGATGGCACGCACGCGTCCGAGTTCAAGGCCATGGACCCGCACGACCGCGAGTGGCTCGAGCGCGTCATGAAGGAGTGCGTCATCGACGAGATCGAGCGCATGCACCAGATCATCCGCATCTGGGCGGACGAGGATCCGCGCCAGGTGCTGCCCAAGCTCATTGAGGACCCGCCAGAGAACCCGTTTACGCCTGAAGAGATTGCCGACTACAAGGAAGCGCTCCTCGACGAGATGCTCACGCGCATCGATCAGATCGACAACGCGCAGACGTTCATCAAGATTGGCGGCCTCCCGAGCCTCCTCTCGCTCTTCCAGAACCCGCGCCCGACGACACGCGCCCTCGCCGCCGAAGTGTTTGCGACCTGCGCGCAGAACAACCCGCCCGTGCAGAAGGCCGGCCTTGACGCCTCGATCATCGAAGCTCTTTGCAAAATGGTGACCGAGGATAAGGACGCCGACTGCCGCTCGAAAGCTCTCCTGGGCATCTCGTGCATGGTGCGCAGCCTTGACAAGACGTCCGAGCGCTGGTTTGTCGTGCAATGCGATGGCCTTGGCGTGCTAACGCGCTGCCTCGATACCGGCGACATTCGCCTCCAGCGGCGGTCGCTCTTCCTCCTCCGGTACCTCGTCAACGCATCGATCGAAAACGCCAAAGTGCTCTTGAGCACCGGCGTCTACCTTCGCGTCTGTGCGTCGCTCGTCGGCGGCGACGACGTAGACCTCAACGAGTCGTCGCTGCAGGCGCTCTCGGAGTTTGCGTCGCTCGGCCCAGCTTTCAAGGCTGCGTGCAAGGCGCCAGCGCTCCAGCTCGTTGCCAAGATCCAAGCGCGCCTTGCAGTCATTGCGTCGCTCGAGGGCGAAGAGAAGGAGTATGCGTCCGAAGAGGCAGCGTTTGCATCCCTCGTCCTCGAGAACCTCGACGTCCTCGAGTAGACGCGCCAGTTAGTTTGTATAAATTTAGTTGATTTCGCAACCAGTGGTCAATCTGGAGTTGGGAAACGGTCGACATACACCCAACCTCCGTCGCGATGGGCTGTGGAGGAAAGAATGGCTCGCACAGCGACAAGGGCAGCGGCGAAGAGTTCAGCCTCTGGTACGTCGGTGTCCTCATGTCGGTCGTCGCGTCCATCTGCACCAACATGGGCGTCAACCTGCAAAAGTACTCGTTTCTGTGCGAAGCCAAACGCCCTTTGCTGCTCAAGCGCGGGTATTTCCTGCAGCCAAAATGGGCCTTTGGTGCGTCCGTCTCGTTGCATTTGAGCGCTGATATGAAGCAGGCCTCTTCCTCGTCGTCTTTGGGAGCATTGGCGACTTTGCCGCGCTTGGGTTTATCCCGCAGAGCCTTGCGATTCCCGTCGGTGGCTTTACGATCGTGGCCAATGTATTTTTTGCCCACTATTTTCTCAAAGAGCCATTTTCCAAGCGCGTACTTCTGCCTAATGCTTTGTACAAGGGCCGATGTTTGTCGTGTAGGACGGTGTCGGCACGGGGCTCATCGTGCTCGGTATTATGGTTGTCGCCGCCTTTGCGAGCAAAGCGAATGACTGTACGTTCTGGATGGTGCCGACATGACGATTCCGACGCGGTGTAGGCTACACGGTTGACGAACTTCTCTTGCTCTTCAACCAAACCCACTTTATCGTGTACGCGATCTTGGTCTCGGTCACCTCGGTCGGGTTGTACCTGTACATTCGCAAGATCCGCGCGATCGCCATCCAGTACGGAGTCGGGTCGCCCATGCACCGCGCGTATGCGAAGAGCCAATCGATCATCTGCCCCGCCCTGTCCGGTGTCTGCGGCGCGCAGTCGGTCCTCTTTGCAAAGGCGTTTGCCGAGCTCTTCAAGTCGACGCTGGCTGGCGACAATCAGTTTACGACTTTTGGGACGTATGCGATTGCGTTCTTGATGCTCCTCTGCGTTCTGCTCCAAGTACGCATATCGGCAAACGGACGATGTATGCACCAACACCGTAGATCCACTGGCTCGCCCAAGGTCTCGAGACGTCGGACGCGGTTTTTGTCATCCCGATCTTCCAGGTATGTACGTCCGGAGAGTGGACAATACAACGATTTGCCACAGTGCTTTTTCATCTCGGTCTCGATCCTCGGCGGCGCTGTCTACTTTAATGAGTTTGCTACCATGAGCGTCCTCCAGGTACGTTGCTCTTTGGCGCTCGAGAGACCTGCGGACGAGGTTGCCATGTAGCTCGCCATGTTCTTTCTTGGGGTCACCATCACACTTGGCGGCGTCCTCGTCCTCTCCAAGCGAGAGATGAATGCCCTCTCGCTCATACAGAAATGGCGCGCAGCGGCCATGATGGTCGTCTTTCTCAAGCGCACGCAAAAGAGAATTGGTCATCCGTTCACGTGGACGGCAGCGAATGCTCCGCCGATGCTGCTGGCGTCGACGATCAAGGCGAGCCGTGTCGTGCCCATGGGTGCTGCCGCGTACGTTGACGCGACCGTGCTGGCGAGCGAGCCCATCGACTCTCGGAGCAATGCTACGGCGAAAGCGGTGCCGGGCTTTCGGCGGACCAAGGTCGCTGCAGAGGACGGCGCGACCGGTAGTGACAGTGTATTTATTGGCCCAAGTACATAGTATTGAATCGTTTAGTGCTGGTAAAACGCCGTCATCGCCGTTTGGAGGTCGGGCGACTCAAAGTTGAACGTGTTGCCCGTGATGAGCTCAAACAGGAGGATGTAGCGACGGGCGAGTTCCTGAACGAGGTCGGTCGGCGCGGCCGGCAGCACTGGGTCATTGTACGGGTCGCAGTTGTCCTTGAACCAGAGACGCAAAAACTCCTTGTCAATGTTCTCCGGGCTCTCCTTGGCCGCCATGCGCGCTTCGTACGAGGCTGCGAGCCAGTAGCTACGCATTTCATTGGGAGCTTGCACTTGATATTTTGAAAGTACCGGCTCGAGTCGGGCGTGTGAATCTCGTCAATCAAGAGGATCGTACCGTCTTCCTGAACACCAAATTCGTACTTGGTGTCGACCAAGATGAGACCACGCTTCGCAGCCGTCGCTTGGCCAAACGCAAAGAGCTCGAGCGCCTTTTGATGGCAGTAGTCCCACTGCGCCTGCGTCATGCGCCCGGTCGACACGACCTCCTTGCCCGATATGAGCTCGTCGTGCACGTCGTCCTTGGTCTAAAACAGAGTCAATCCATGAGTTTGACCAAGCACGGATGTTGCGAGGTGCGTACCGTGGGCGTGACGAGGTTCTCGGGCAGCTTTTGGTGCTGGACGTAGCCGTCCGCAAGCTTGTGGCCGCAAAAGTCGCGGCTGCCCTTGGCGTAGTTTGTCCACATCGACGTCGACGTCGAGCCAGTGATGTAGCCACGCACAACGAACTCGACCGAGAAGACTTTGGCCTGCTTGCAGACGACGACGGACGGGTGCGGCGTCGCGATCACGTGGTTGGGCACGATGTGCTCTGTGGCCTTGAACCACCACGCGCTCGTGAGCGTGAGCACTTGGCCCTTGCACGGCACGGACGCGAGCTGGCGATCGAACGCGCTCTGGCGGTCCGTCGAGACGAGTACGACCTGCTTGCGCTCGGGCAGCACGTAGATGTCCCGGACCTTGCCGACGATCTTGGTCGCCGGCGCCGGCAGCTGGAGGTCGGTGGCGGCAACCGCGCTGCTTTGCGCAATCTGCGCCTTGTAGCCCTGCGTACGGGCTTCGGCTGCGGCGACAATGCTGCTCATGCTGGTGGCGGATGGAAATGAAAATGAACTGGTCGACGCCAAAGACCAAGATCCAAAAGATGTGCCCGCTGGATCACGAAACATCCTGACGCATTTTTGATTGGGTAAATATCGTTCAAATTGATATTGCGATTGGTCCTTATCCGCCTCTGCCGACGATTTCAACCAGTCTCTGTCGTTCTAGTCGATCACATTTCAACTAAACGGACACGCACCAGTTGGGCAGGTGTGTGCCTGGGTGTGTGCTCACGAGATCGCTAATTCAGGGCGGCTTGCACGACATTGCTTTTGCTGTCACGTATTCCTGCCATTGACCATAGAGTCGAGAGTATCCTAGTATACTGGGGCCGTGCTTGTACCGGCCTCGTCGTCAAGTGGGTACGCATCATCGTGCTACCTTGCGCTTGGTTCAGTCCATCACGCGCCAACTTAGTCGATCTCAGATCGTAGTCGACAAACGAACCAATGGGACGCGGCGGTAATGCGAAGTTCGAAGCAAGAACTTGAACTACGTTCGTGGGGTCTTCGGCGGGGTTTACGTTGACAGCGGAGGACCGCCCACAAAAAATATCTTGTCAGCCCAGTCGCCGATTTGCCCCGTTTAGTCAACAAGCCCCATGGCCGAGGAGAAGAAGCAAGAAGTCGCTGCCCAAGGTAGACAGCGCTAGGCTCTGGAGACATGGCACCGACCCGCATATTTAGGCAGCGCGCCGTTCAAGTCGTTCCTCTCGGGTGGCTTTGGCGGCATGTGCCTTGTCGCCGCCGGCCACCCGCTCGACTTGATCAAGGTCAACATGCAGACGATGCCCACGCCCAAGGCGGGCGAGGCGCCGCTCTACTCGAGCGCCATGGACTGCGCGCGCAAGATTGTCGCCAAGGACGGGGTAGGCGATTATGCTTGAAAGCACGATGGCTCATGCGGTGGTCGCGTCTTCGTAGCCCAAGGGTCTCTACCGTGGCATGACGGCGCCGCTTGTGGGCGTGACACCCATTTTCGCGATCTGCTTTTGGGGCTATGACATGGGTGCCCTCCTTGCGGTACGTGCGCCATTGCATGATGATGGTCGGCACTCACATGCCATCATCGTTGTGTAGCGCAAGGCGGCCAACATGAGCGACTCGGACAAGCTCTCGATGAACCAAATTATGTTTGCCGGCGGCTTCTCGGCGATCCCGACGACGATCGTCATGTCGCCGGGTGAGCGCATCAAGTGCTTGCTCCAAGTGCGTTGCACCAGATTGTTGAAGGCTGGTCGTATTGACAAACGTTGTAGATTCAGTCGCAGGCTGTTGCGCGCGGCGAGGCGCCCATGTACAGCGGTATGTCGGACTGCGCCAAGCAGCTCTACCGCACGGGCGGCATTGGCAGCTTGTACCGTGGTTGGGAGGCGACGTTGCTCCGCGATGTGCCGGGCTCGATCGGGTACTTCGGCGGCTACGAAGGCGTCAAGCGCCTCCTCACGCCCGAGGGCCAGAGCCCCGAGGACCTCAACGCGTTCCGCACGTTCGTCGCCGGTGGTCTTGCCGGCGTCATCAACTGGGTCGTTGCGATTCCCCCGGATGTCATCAAGTCGCGCATCCAGACGGCGCCCGAAGGCACGTACCGCGGCGCCGGTATTGTCGACGCGTACAAGCACTTGGTGCAAACCGAGGGCCACGGTGCGCTCTTCAAGGGCGTCGGTCCGGCCATGGCCCGTGCGTTCCCCGCCAACGCTGCCTGCTTCCTCGGCATGGAGTTTTCCAAGAAGCTTCTGACGGTCCTCGGTGTCAACTTTTAAGCTGTGTCCCTTTTGAATGCACTGTATTTGAGCCCATTTTTGAATGCACTGTATTTGAGCCTGCTAAGAGTTCAACTCACGTCCCCGTAGCGTGCGCCTAGTGCACTAGCGGATAGAGGCGCGCTCGGAAGCCAGGGATCCCAGCACCAAAGTCGACGCCGTGGCGTGGCATGGCGATCTTATTTGCGAAAGAGCCAATCAGCGTCCGACCATCGACTTTGACCAAAGTATCCATTTTGGGAGAATCGGATATTTGAAACCCCAAATTTGCGGACAAGAAGGTTTGGACTCGCAGAGGGTGTTGGAGCTAACCCTGCAGTACGATGCTTTGCTGTTGAGGGACATCATTGGCCGAGTGTCGAGAGGCTAACAGAAAGGGAGCTCTTCGACGCCAAACGAGCGAGTGGGAAGCAGCCTCTAAGTTCGGGTGTCGAGCTTTGACAGACTGAACCATTGGCCTGGCGCACCAGTGAGACGCTTCGT